CAAGTAGTGTATCAGACAAATAACCAATCAGCAAAATTTTAGCATAATTAAGAGGTATACTGCTAGAGTCCAGTTTCTACATGCAAATTACAGACAAAGAATAAGAACCACAACAATTGTATCATAAATTTGGAAAGAAAATTATGCAAAGACCAAAACCTGGCTCAGCTTTAATTCAAGTTCATTTAGCTTTGATTTTATCTGCTGAATATCTTTAACCAACTTCAAGTCTTCCACAATCTTTTCTGCATTCAACTCCACATCTCTTGCTAGTTTCAATTCCACAGCCTTTGATGGTTTCAACTCCACAGCCTTTGATGGTTTCAACTCCACATCCTTTGTTGGTTTCAACTCCACATCTTTTGCTGGTCTCAACTCCACATCTTTTTCTGGTCTCAACTCCACATCCTTTTCTGGTCTCAACTCCACATCCTTTGCTGGTTTCAACTCAACATCGTTTGCTGGTTTCAACTCAACATCCTTTGCTGGTTTCAACTCCACAACCTTTGCAGGTTTGAACTCCTCACCCTTTGCTGGTTTCAACTCCACATCCTTTGCTGGTTTCAACTCAGCATCCGTTATTGGCTTGGACTCCTTACTATTAACAGATGTGAACTTTGCATCCTTTGTAACCTGCTTCATTTAAGAACCACAAAATGACGTTACGTAAGTGAATTCAGCATACTTGCATGATGGAATTGAACCACATAACAATACATCAAGAAACTGTTCCTGAAGGTGCAAAGCCATGCTTCCTAAAAAAATTTACTCAACTGTGTTGTCATAATTAACATATACCTTTCCCTAAGTGATAATGCAATGCTCCTGGAGAAAATGAGAATGATAGAATAAACATAGAATGCAAAATGTTATAACAAGACCAATTAAAGTTTGTAACATTGTGACGTAAGAAGAGTTTCTCTAACCATGTTCTGTTGAGGGAGGATTGCAACCCCGCCAAATACTTGATCTTTCAAAGCTTCATGCCCCAGCCCCTGCTTCAAGTCTACCTTGATTGGTGACAGCATTGGTGAGTTGGGTGGACTAATAAGGGTTACTCTTAGCTTTTTCTCTTCAATGTACTTGCCATCATCTTTAGCAAACTGTAAATGAAAAAAATGAGAAACGAATACAAAATCTTAAAACAACAATTAACAATACTAGAAAATGAGAAACAAATATAAAATCTTAAGGCCAACAACAATTATCAAGACTAGAAAATGAAAAACGAATACAAAATCTTAAGGCCAACAACAATTACCAAGACTAGAAAATGAGAAATGAATATAAATCTTAAGGCCAACAACAATTATCAAGACTAGAAAATGAGAAACGAACACAAAACCTTAAGGCCAACAACAATTACCAAGACTTACCATGCTAGCTGTAATATCCTCATCAGTTGTCCCAGAAGAAACAATTGTGCTTTGGATTAAGAACTTATCTCTGCATTCCATATCAGGTGGAGCTGCCCTTGGAGCTTGCATTGTAACTATGTTGATAGTCAGAGTCAAAATTGTTAAACAAGACTGATTAAAGGAGAAAACAATCAGAAAATAGACTGCAGAGTAAGACCAAACAAATGATTCCATTACAAATCTATCTAAAGCAGATAATTGCAATGGTACTTTACTCTGTCCATGAGGAGAGAGCAGAGTAAAAATGTCAAAGTGCAACCCCAGTATAGCATATCATGATTCATAAAACAATAATTTTTTTTTTTCTTCTATCACTTAAGCCAAAAATCCAGAAGTGGAACTTAAGCTTGAAATTTCATCCTTCTGTACACGTTGATGAAGAAATGCTTACATGCAAAATCAAACATCAGTACACACTCACAATTTACTAGGTGAGATAAATGAAAAGGCATACCTGAAAATTCAAAAGTAGATTTTGGTAAGATAACACCAACATTTGGTCGCACACAGTATTTCTTAGGGGATGTAGTTTTAACCTGCCAATGTCATTGCTAAGTTACATTTCCATCTAGCATTTCATCATCCTGAATAAATTGCACACACACACACACACACACACACACACACACACAATTCAATAATTTGGAAAACAAATAAATGCAGTGCGCACCTTAAAAGCAACATGGCGGTTGGTCATGTTCGTTAGCGTAACTGAGCATGAGCTTTGCTTCTTCAATTCAACTATGAAAACAATTACACCGTCAGTTTACAATTCCCAAGTAATTGGTAAACTAAAACATATCCTATTTCAATTCCAATATTACCACAGCCCAGCAATACAATGTTTACATCTAGCTATGTAACAGTAACCGTTTGCAGGTACAGATTAACAAGAATCTGCACTAATCTGTTCAATATTCATAGTTTCAAAACCAATGCTCCATTCGGTACGGAAAAACTAGAGAAGAGCTAAACTCATAAATAGAAGGCAAACAGTTAAATGATTAAAAGAAGAACTAACAAAAAATAAAAATTACCGCTACATTTTAGGTCCAACTATGCGGGTCAACTAAACGAAATCAGCAAACCAACAACACCAAAACGTAATAAATTCCAAAGATGATTGTTGTGGCGATCGCAAAGATACCAGATCATAAAGAAAATGATTAGCATTGACCATCTACCAAAAACGAACTTACATAAGAATTTCAATTCTTTGGGCTGAATCTCCAAAATTTGCGTACTCATTGTTATCTCAACTTCACAACAATCCAACGCTAGATACTGATATCCAAATCTCCTTTTTCACTGCGTAGCAATGAAATGTTCAAAATATATTTAGAACCTAAAAATCCGTACACAATGCTCATAATATGTTGGTGACTGACACACCGTTTGGTTGATGAGAAAATCTTAGAAATGAAAACATAGTAATTGAGTATATGACTCAAATTATTCAATCCTTGGGACCCAGTAATATTAATTAACGAAAATAAGAGAGAGACAGAGATGAGGAAAAAGAAAACCAAAAGTAGTAAAAAGTTTCATGCACTAGATCCGAAAACCAAAAGAAGAGAATCATGATAAAGTTGTCGGAAAATCAGAATCAATTAATTTCCATTCCCGCTTTTCTCAGCAACCAAACACAACACAGACCAAAGATCAAAACACTAACACCGGGTTGAGAGTTTGACTCTTTTCTCAACTCGTACCGTCAAAACTCGTCACCGGAACGACGACGTGATTATTATTATTATTTCTCAAAAACAAAGAACCAGCTCAACAGTGTTTCAGGTTCAGTCTAGACGAACTCAACTCAATTCCGAGTCCTTCCCCAAAACACAAAAAACAAGCAGAGGAAAACGAGCTGAAAAGGGACGACGCCGTTTATCGCGTCTTCTTCTGAAGAGAATAGTGCTCAGAATACTGAGTGGGGATGAACTTCAGAGACGACGACGTTTGGATCAGAGGGAAGAGAAAACTTTTACCTGTTTGGACAGAGAGAACCGGAGAGGAGCTGAAATGGCGTGGAAATGCCGCGTTTGGATGAATATAATAGAATAGAGAGGGAAAGTTTGATAGAATCGATAAAGTCAAGCCCTAGATTCTAGAGAGAGAGTATGCGTTTGGTGGCCTGAAACATTACAGTGCTAATATATTGACGGGAGAAAGTGAAAGGCAACTAACCAAATCTGCTGCTGGTGGCGTTAGTTGTACCCGCCGTTAGGAGTTTGGACGACCCGCCTTTCTCCAATGGTCGGGTTTTATGGAATACGGGTCCCTCTTTCTTGATATTTGCCCCTGTCTCACTCGGGCGAGTTTAAATACGGGCCGAAGCCCAAATAAACAAAAAAGACTAACTGAGCCCTTCTTACGCCGTCAGATTCCAAAACGCCATAAGGGAGAGTCAAACAAGTGCAGGCCCAATGATTCCTTCTTCATTTCGTTGCAAAATATTATGTATTTAAATTTCATGAAGGATAATTTGCTGTATTGTTGAATCAAATAAAAATAAACTTATGAAGGGGCATAAATAGAGAGGATTGATTTGAATAAAAATAAATAAATAAATATAGGGGATTGATACAATTTATGTGTGCGTGTATAAAAGTGTAATTAGAGATCAAAATCAGATGTTTAGTTATAACTAACTCCTTGGCACACTTGTGTCTATTGGTTTTTTTAATTACATAATTAAGGGCTTATTTGGGAGTGATTTTGGATAGCCCAAAAATCACTTATATGAAGAATCACTTCTTCATATAATCACTTTAAGTTATTTTAAGTGATTTTATGAAGAAGCACATGAGAGCTGCTTCTCCCTTAAATCACTTAAAATAACTTAAAGTTATTATATAGAGAAGCACGTGGGAGGTTCTTCTTCCCAAAATTGATTTTGGCCTATCCATAATCACTTCCAAACAAGCTCTAAGAAAGATAAAATGGGTTGTTACATAAAAATAAGACCAATGTTCTGATTTGTTTTTTTTATGTTAAATTTTGTTAAAAAAAAAAAGTATAAATTGACTATATAATCCTCATTCATTTAATATTTTCACTTCTTAATATTATTACTAATCAAGAGTAATTTGTTGGTATTTTGAATGTTTCGCCATTCTCCGTATATGCTTTATATATATAGATTTCTATAATATGCAAAGAGAAATTGAAGAAAACCTAAGGAACTAGGAATGCAATAGCAAAATTATATTAAGGAACCAAATTACACGTAAATTTCATTAACATAAACAATTAAAATTCTAATGATATGTTTAGTACAAGTGATTACGTGAGGGAGGATTTACACAAATATTTATTAAGTGCTTAGGGGTTTTGAATCTCTATCCACATTGGTGCATTCTAATGATATGTTTAAAAGTTGTTATGTTATCTTTCAAGTCTCCTCAAATCTGAAAATCATTGTACCGCCAATGTTGGCCCATAAGGCCCACTAAGTCAAAAGCGTTTATAGCCCAAAAGCGTTTATGAACAGTCACTGCGTCTTCCAGTTTCTATTTGTTCGGTTCTTCAGTTCACTCTCTCTCTTTCTCTCACTTTTATGGTACACGTGTCAAGCAGGGAAGTCCTATTAGAAAACTAAGACAGGTATAAATACCCACCAGCCAACGACCTCTCTGTCATCCTCCTCGATTTCGCCGTCTCTCACCCTCCCTCTCTTCCTGCAATTTGATCTCACCAGGATCCCATCAATGGCCGCCATCTCAGGAGCTTCTTCGATCTCCCTCCGCTCTACTCCGCCTCGCTCTCATCAAAATCTCGTAATCCCAGTCTATTGTCATCATTTACCATTTCTCTGCTTCATTTTTTCCTTTTGAATATTTTTATATAGTTTAATTGCCAGTGATTTTTAATTTTAGATAGAATTATTGAATTTGGTGCCATTTATTTTTTTTAAAAATTTTCATTTGCCTTATTTTTTACTGGTTGGTTGCTGATAAAATTCAGTGATGTTACCTAATGCTACTGTTGAGATTTTACAAGAATTTGGATAATTTATTTTTTCTTATTGTACCCAACTACCCATCGATTCATCTATTGCTTTACTAAATTTCAATGGGATTTAGGTAGGGGTTTTTTTGGGGGGAGGGTGGGTGCGTTTGAAACAAACAACTTATTGAACTCTATTGGTATGCTCTCTTTGATTTGAATATGAACTGAAGCATTCATGGTTGAACAGGCATTGTCCAGGACTAATGGTTTGAGGTCAATTTCACTTTCTGATTACGGAAGAAGTTCCCTTTCTTTCGGGTTGCAGCAACGTTCAATACGCCTTTCTGTTTCCTGCGCTGTATGTATTTTTATATCATAAGCTGAGAGCCTTTCTTTGTTTCATTTATTCACAAGTCTCAAATCTTGTAAAAACTAAATGCCTAATAATATATCGATAATCATCGTTAATGTTAAATGTCCTTGAGCAGGCCAAGCAAGAAACAGTGGAAAAGGTGTGTACGATAGTAAGAAAGCAACTTGCATTACCAGATGACTCTGCAGTTACCGGCGAGTCAAAATTTGCAGTTCTTGGAGCTGATTCTCTTGATACGGTAAATTCAATATTTGTTAAGATGCTACTTACCATTTTCTTTATCCTGCATTGTTTGTCTTCCTATAAGCATGCGGCTTTTGTTTGCTAGAGATGGGGCATTGATTGGTACATTATATTGGTTCATTTGTCTTCCCTTGGATTTCTTGTTAGCAGGAGATATATTTTATAAAATAGAAAAACTGATACTGAAACGGATTGAAAAGTGAAGATATAATGTTTGTTGTTTGATTTGATCCATAAAGAGTGAAGAAATAGGAACTGTTGGGATGTTTGTTGGTACCAGGATACCAGCTTTTGTAATTCTCTTGCTTTCAACAATGTTAGTGGCTAGAATTCATTTTGGTTTTGTCTACCCATGTTAAGTGTTTCATTTGGTGTAGTTGTCATGTTGATGTAAAACGGCATGCAGGTTGAGATTGTGATGGGACTTGAGGAGGAATTTGGTATTAGCGTGGAAGAGGATAGTGCTCAGAGCATTGCAACAGTGCAGGATGCTGCCGATCTTATTGAGAAGCTCATTGAGAAAAACAAGGCTTAGAGATAGTAATCAAAGCAAGAGTCCGCCTGCCTATTCACTTCTTAGCCTGCTTTAGACTAGTTGAGTTGCTAAATATGAAATTATGAATTTACTAAGTTGCGTTTCTTTGTTTGTTTTTTTCAATTATATATTTTTAATTATATTTTTCTAGACGCCTATTTTAAAAGGTTTTGTTTCCTCCAGCAAATTAAATGTTGCTTCCATGAGCTAGTATTGGAAAGAAAAAAAATGCAATAGCTAATTACTGTAATCCCAGTATTACAGTCTCATCGTAAATTTTTGCTGAAATTTGAAGATGATAAAACAATTTAGATGATTATATGCTGTCGTAAGTTGATTACAATTACTATTTCTCATTGTAAAATACAGAACTTGGGAATACATCTGACCAACTAATTTATTTTGAAAATAAAAAAGACCAGTTAAGTTCGTTTCTTTACAGGCATGCATGCATTCAAAATGTCGATGCCTCAACATACATAAACCTGCATACTCAAGGCAGTGATGGTGGTATAAGTCTTAGAAATACAATTTTCATTATTTTAGACTGAAAAAGCAACCCAAGATACAGTATGACAAAAGATTCATTCAAGATACAGCATGACAAAAGATTCATTCAAGATACAGCATGACAAAAGATTCATTCAAGATACAGTATTGACTTCTATATACAGCGAGTGCGGTGACCAAATCATCTTGTGATCAAGTGTTACTGCATCACTCCCAATCAGCATCAAAGAAACCAGCATCTTTCATCTCTGAATAATACACATTCTCCAAATGTAGATCTTCCTCCTGTTTTCATCCAAAGTACAATTACCAATTGGGAAAATAAAACAAAATAACACTACCACTATCTTAAAAAGAAAAACACAAAGTCACAAATACCTGGAAGAAGTCTGCCAGAAATGTTACATACAAAAGAGGAAGATAAAGGGCATGATAACAGACAACAGTGGCACCATAGAGCCTGCAAATAAAAATTTGAGAAATATTTAAAGCAGTACTTTAATATTTGAATAAAATAATGGTCAAATGGAAACTTCAGATCAAAGACCAATCTACACACATACCAAAACCCAAATCCAGCCCCATTTCCAGTAAGCCCGCAAGCAAACAGGGCTAGTACGTTCAACATAAACATGACCGCAGTATACTTGTAGAATGCAGGTCTTGCTGTAGAACAAGAACAAAGACATCAAAAGTTTGTTCTATTAGACAGCTATGAAATTGATGTAAACATCATATGAACTTACCTGGTAACCTTTCTCTCCACTTGGAATGGTACATGAACAATATGAAGCCATAAATTGCAGTAATCACTAGCCTGTGGACAACCCACAAGTCCCACTTCATCCGATCTGTACGATCTTTGTTGTCAACGAATAATGGAATTCCAAATCCAAATAGATAGATTGCCTGGAAGAGACACAATATGAAATTATAAGTCCATTATGTACCATGATAATGCTTCATGTGAACAAAATAAGCATGTCAAAGGAATTAGCAAATTGCATTGGGTCAATCACCCTACAACTACAAGTTGGGAGCTAAGAGTTCTGGCATATGCCACTAGCAGAAAAGGAGCGAGAATGAAAGTCCATGCTACCTCCACAGTCTCATATTCATATTCTAGAAGTAACTGGCAAGCATAGCTAGCTCTGAATGGTGAAAATCCATTTTGAGAAAAACAAGACTGATACCTTGAGAAGTATATCCAAAACAACAAGGACCCCTGAGACAACGAAAGTCCGTGTCAAAGCTTCCAGTCCACTTGCATAATTCCCTTGGATCAAAAATGCCAGCAAGCTTACTTCCAAAAATAGCATCCCGGAGGTTGTGAACAAAGATAAGAAATTCCAGGCTAGTTCTTTTCCAGGAGTGCACTCCCATGCCTGCGCCAAAGAAGTGACAATTCAACCGGATCTTAGCAAAATTGTCAAGAAATGCCTCACAAGGAGAAGTTTAGACATAAACTACGATTTGAATACACAAAACTTGAATAACCGTTATTCCCCACCTCAAATACAGCTACCAAAACAATTCAAAATACCCAAACAGCAATCATTTTCATATTATTCAGAGTAATTTATGTTATCTACAATTTACCTTTGAAAAGCACACGAAATTTCCATAACCAAATATCCTTCACACTTTATTGCAGCAATTATAACCAAAGGATCGTTAAGAAAATCCAAAACAATGATCACAGGAACGGTCTAACATTAATAATCTAGAACCTTAAATTTTAGCTACAACCATTCTACTATTCAGCTTAAAGGTTCAAGGTAAAATGAAGGATCAAGGCAAAGCTACAAACTTCAAAAGGGGAAAGAGCCACGAACCTGTAAACAGCACCAAGCAAGATTGAGCAAGCTAACAAGCCAAAGGCACCCATAGTACGCAATCATAATATAAGACCGGCCATGAGAGAGCTTCGAGAAGCTTTTCCTTGCTTGATAGGCCAAGTACAGGACGAAAAGAAGCGAGGGTACAATTAGAGCGACATTGTGAAAAGCCCCATGGCACTCACCAAGCCAGCTGTAGAATCGGGAACCCGAAGCCCCTTCGCCTAGAGTTGAATTTGAGCCCAGGGAAAGTGAAATTGGGAGTCCAGGTTGTGAGGGAGCCTCTTGAAGAGCTCGCATTTTTTAATTCTGGGACAAAACAACCCTAATTTCAGTGACCCTAAGAGCGATTTGGGGGTTCAACTCGAAAACCCTAACCCTAGATAATGGGTGTGGTGGAAAAGGGGGATCCTTTATGCACTTGGGTGTACAAGGAAATAGCAGAGTCCACTTCTTCACCTGCTTCTTTACGATTGGTCAGAAGCGACGACTGGAGGTTTGGACGTAAAGCTTGGCGGGTTTAGGGACAAGCAGTACAACCCGATATACTTTATTCGGATTTTTTCTACCCGACTTTTAGATTTCTATTATTATTAAAGCAAAATATCTTCTTTTTTATTTTCTTTGCCAAGAAGAAAAATACCATTAAAAGAGAGAGTGGGCCAAATCTGTTGTTATTGCTGTCTTTCTTTTTCTCTTTTCTTTAAATTTTTTTTTTATTATTTATTTATAGAAAATCTGCTGTTATTTAAGTGACAAAGAAAGCTACCAACACTTGAAGAAATTTCGGATTATAGTAAAGAATTTTTGGTTTTTTTAAGGATATTTCCTATTGAAAGGGGGCGATAGTATACTAAACTCACATATATTATACGGATACTAGGACTCAAACCTAGGATCTTTCCTCGGGGAGCAATTGCTCCAAACCACTAGTCCTCTGCAAAGATTTTGTGTTAGATAGTTTGACATGGTATTTTTTTTTAATAACATGGTATATTAGTAAATTGTCAAATATTTAGCACCAAACGATGATACTAGCACCAAATTCGAATTGTTACTTAGCACCAAAGATCAGGGGCGGGTATGATATTTCATAATCTTGAGGGAAAGTTTTCAAAAAAAAATAACCGTTACTGATTCAAACCAAACGTGTTGTAATGAACGCCAAAAGCTCTAATTTTTCTCCCTCCGTGCCTTAATTTTCGGATCATTTCCTTTGAAAACTCCAGAATTCCTACAAGGTTGGATTTTTGATTCAGTAGGATTTCATTGAAGAAAGCTAACTTTGGATTAAAAAGCTGTACAATTTTACTGGGTTTGAAAAAGTCTTATGAAATCTCCTTTGAATTAATTCTGGGATAATGTGATATTATTGAGTTTTCTTGTGTTACAAGCAATGGCATCCCATTAAGGCAAGGAATTTGAGGCACTAGAACTGCATTTGCCTTGAACAAATCCACCGGAGCAGGTTTCTTTCTGCTAAAGATAAAGAATTCAACTTTTGTTTGTCTCTTGCTGTATGTGTATGTATTTGCCTTGGTAATTTTTCTTGGTGTTCATCAATTTTCAATGGCAGTGGGGCGGCAGTAGCCATGGATCGAATGAGGCCGGTGTATGTCAGGCAGAAGAGCGGTGGCAACACCCCCGGACCACCAACCTCTCCAATGATGTCGCCAATGCACCACCATGGGAGGTCGGGGTCGGTTGGAATGGGGGGTGCCAAGAAAGCGCAGCACACGAAAGCTGCGGCTCAAAGACTTGCACATGTGATGGCCAATAAACCAACTGAGGACGACGATGAGGACGACGATGACCTTTCTTATGATCTTAGCAGCTTGTCAAGCAGCACAGGGAGCATCGGACTTGCCGGTGGAAGATCAATGCGCCCTCGCTCCCCAATGGTAATGGGCTTGTGGGTAATGTTCTCTTGCCAGACTTTGATATTAATGAATTTAACCGTTCAGATTCACAGTCTGACAAGAGAACGTTTACGAACACTTATATTTTTAATGTGTTGTTATATTTTTATGAACATCATACTTGGTTGAATTGAAACCTAAATGTCGTTGTGCTACTATTAGTCAGTTCGTACTGTTCAAGATCAACCTACATCTACACGCACAACACCGGGTGGCCGATCATCTCAATCTGTCAATCCTGTGGAACAGCCATCTTCAACTCATTCAACACCAGCTAGCAGATCATATCAATCCTTAAACCAAGCAGAACAACAATCATCTGCTCATTCAACGCCAGCAAGCCGACCCTTTCAATCCATCAACACTAAATCCACCAACTCTGCTGCCGAACAACCACATTCTCTTCGTTCTTCGATAGCTACTAGACCATCGCAGCCGTCTAGTTCCAACGAACAACCTACCTCTGCTCGTTCTATGTCAGCCATGAACTCTGTAGAACAACCACATTCTATTCGTTCTGGCATGGCTGCAACTCGATCATCTCAGCCTACCAACTCTGTCGAACAACCTAGCTCTGCTCGGTCTATGTCAGCCATGAACTCTGTAGAACAACCATATTCTATCCGTTCTGGCATCGCTACTCGATCAAATCAGCCTACTAACTCTGTGGAACAACCTACCTCTGCTCGTTCTTTAGCCGCTGCTCGTCTACAATTAGGAACCAAGCCAGTCCACATGGTACCAGCTAGTGTACCTATATCACTTAGGCCACCCTCTTCTGCAGATGGTCCAGTTGATAATCGGAGAGAGCCAGTACCTATATCACTTAGGCCACCATCTACTGCCATTCTATCAGAAGCTGCTGCAGTTGACAATCGGAGAGATAAAAGGTATCAAGCTTTCAAATGTGTACTACTTTGTGAATCATCATCTCAATTCTTTATTTATTTCTTTTGGTATTCTGTTGTTCCATTTTTTCTTTTCTTGGGGAGGGGTTGAAGGGTTAATGTTGTAACCTTGCAATGTCATTTTTCTTTTTGCAAGTCCAGATTATGTTATATGGCTTTTCCAATTAATATGGCCTTTGAAGACAAACATGCTTTAGATAACTCAGAAATCAAAGTTTTGTTTCTAGATAGACTTGAACTCTATGGGACGATTGTTCGATCTTGGAACAATTACAGCAGAAATCTCCTGTTTACTCATACATGATTTTATGAGAGAGACTCAACATAGTAGCTCATGTTTCGATTTTGTTGTTGCTTTGATATAAAGTAGTTCTTTAATGTGGTTTGTTTCAATTCCGTTTAACAAGTATGTCTTATATCTAATCCTTTCTAGCTCTGGTCAATGAGCAGGTTGTCTTTGGATTTAGGCAGTTTAAACATGAGAGAAACTAGGACTCAGCGTTCTTCTGCTTTACAAGATGAGGTATGTAGTTACCTGTGTTTTATTACAACTTATGGACACTGCTGTGACATCTTTCGTCTCCTTTTTTTTTCTTGTTTAGAACACTGTTAGTTATATTATAAGTTAATAGACTTTAAATTTTAAGTTCATAGGCGAAAACTAGAAAATTGAAAAGGAAAAGTTATCAAATTGAGACTCAACTGATGAAGTGTAAATTTCATTGCAGCTTGACATGCTACAGGAAGAAAATGAAAGTTTACTTGAAAAGGTGATGCCAATGCATTTTTTTCTCTATAAATAATGTCAAATTGTTTGAATTTGGAAAATAAGCTTTTCCAGACCTAGTTAACCATCAGAAAGTGCTGCAATAGACATCTTCAGTTGATCCAATTTAATATAGTGCTCTCTCTTGGACATTGCTATTGCAGCACCAACTAAGCACAAGGTTTGCATTTTGGGAAATATGAAAGAGATCCACTCGTGTAAATACATTTTTGATAATTTGATACTGTTATCATATTTGTTTTTGGCACTCCATTTTGATATGTGCTTCCCCAGCTTCGACTTGCAGAAGAGAGGTATGAGGAAACAGAGGCAAGAGCTCGACAGCTCGAGCAACAGGTAATGTTTTATACTTATAAACTATCAGTTTTATTGGTTCATACACTTTTTTTCTCATACTGTAGTCGTATCTAATTGTTTGTATGTTCTTTAGGTTGCTACTCTTGGAGAAGGTGTAACATTAGAAGCCCGTCTTCTAAGCAGGCAAGCCTCAAAGTTCTCATGTATTTGTATTTCCAGATTGATTATTTAGAGGATGCTAATTTTCATTTGCTTGTCTTCAGAAAGGAGGCAGCACTGCAGCAAAGGGAGGTGTGTGTTTCAACATATCATTCATATACCTACACCGTTACACAGCACATGTACTATGTATGTGTATGCATACATAGCACATGTCACTAACTTTATTAACATTAATTTGTGCATATTGTCTTTGAAATGCTTTGGTTTTTAGACAGTATCATTCTCTATCTGGTCTAATTCAAGTTGATTGAAATATAACCTCACCATGAGTTAGAACATGTTCCTCACAGGCTGCTTTGAGATTGGCTGCACAAACTCATGGCGGCAGTGGTGGCGGTAGTGGTAGAAATGATGAAGCAGAGTATGAACTGAAATCGCTTCGGATTATGACTCAAAGAATGATACTTACTCGCGAAGAGATGGTTTGTTCTCAATTTTTTAGCTCATATTTATCCGTTCTTGTTTCGCCTTTTTTACATGATTTTCAGTGTTTTTATCTTAGGAAGAGGTGGTCTTGAAGAGATCTTGGCTTGCTCGGTACTGGAGTTTATGTGTTGAACACGGTAAGTCGTTAAGTAATAAATTCCAAGATGCATTTGTGTTCTTGAAAAATTCCTCAGGAGGTGAAACATATCATTTGCATTTCTTTACTAAACATATTTTGCATCCAATTGCATTGCATCTAATGGGAAGTAGAGTATTTTGGCAGGTATTCATGCTGAGATTGCCACATCAAGATATGAATTCTGGTCAGCTCTTGCTCCTCTTCCTGTTGAAGCTGTTTTAGCTGCTGGAGAGAAAGCTAAGGAGGAGATAGGTAAGTTGAGTGCCTCAATCTTTATTGTTTCTTCTGTATGTTTGTCTTTGCCTTCTCTATTTGAAGGATGATATTGAATTTTTTCATTAATTCAATTCTGTTCAGAACACAACGATCTAGATATAGATGAAAGAGAAGATAGTCCACGCAATTTGAATGAACTCTCGGGAGAGAGAAACATTGAGAGCATGCTTTTAGTGGAGAAAGGTCTGCGCGAAATAGCTTCATTGAAGGTTCTCTTCTGCATTCTTTTCTGCAACCCTGTTAGTCTGGATGCTGAAAAAGGGTTATGTTCACTGCTATACTTGTAGACCTGCATGTTGACTATTTTCTTATTAGCAAATAAGTTAATAAAACAGAAAACAAAACTTGTCTTTGAATTGATCTGTAGATTTGCATAGCAATGACCAGTTTTAGTGTAATTATCTCAAAGGTAGAGGATGCAGTGGCGCTGGCGATGGCTCAACATCGACGACCCAGTTCAATGAAAACTGGTCTATCAGGTGAAGGGGTTCTTGATTTGCAATTGAATGATTCATTTTAATCAATATCAGACCATGTGTATGTGCATTGTGTACAAATGATTATTTCAAGTGACATTAGCTGTGTGCAAAAGTAAACCAAAAGGATCAAATAAACCAACAGAACCAAAACTGTCCACTCCATATGGGGCTAAGTGGAAGAGTAAACTAAGTGAAACATCATGATAGTTGGCTGATGACCTTCTTCCTCCATGCATGTAGAGTTGAAGCTACCAATTGATGGACAGTTTGAAGCATTTGGTAAGATTTTATCCCAAAAAACATAATTTATAATAACTTAATCTTCTGACATAAGCCATGCCCTGAGTTGTTGATAAATGCGTTTGATTTCAGAACTAAGCAAAGAGGAGTCTGAAGATGTGCTTTTCAAGCAGGTAATTTATGACACCTTTTGCCTTCTTATTTTCGATAAAGTGTAAATATTTGTGTGAAAAATGCCATTTCTTTTGCTGGTTTGAGTTGTTTGTAGGCATGGCTTGCATATTTCTGGAGAAGAGCCAAAAATCATGGGGTGGAAGCAGATATAGCAGATGAGCGTTTGCAATTCTGGATCAACCACAACTCCAAATCACCCACCACTTCACATGACGCAGTTGACGGTGCATGCTCTTTCTTTCTAAGCTCTCTCTAATCATATTCTTTGTCTTATGAAATGCTTTGGTTATAAAGATTGGAACTTGCCATTGTTGGTATTTTGCTCTCTCTCTCTCTCTCTCTCTCTCTCTTTAACATGACAAATAGGGTATGAGCTTAAAGCCTTAAATTTGATATGCAGTTGAGCGTGGCCTTCTGGAGCTGAGGACGTTGGGCATTGAAACCCAGTTGTGGAGAGAATCTCGCAAGTGGCTTGAGCATGATTCGATGCATAGAGCCCGAAGTCTGTCTGATTTCTGATAAAAAAGTTGGAGGCAGGCCTTCTTCATTGATATAATCTCTTCTCCTTCCTTGGAATAGATTCATTTTTGTACAAGTTTTCTGGTGTGGAGAAAACCTAGCTAAAAGGAAACACCATATAGTATTTAACCATTTATTCATATGGTGTGGCAAAATACAGATTAAAGTGAAGACTTTCTTTATATAATGGATCATGTACTCTCTCTGTAGCTATGTTCCAACAGGGCACACCTTACCCATCATGGGCAGGGAGCAACTAACATTTTCTCCACCTACCTATACCCTCCACTTCTTGGGTTAACCTTGAGGGCTAAGATCTTTTACCATTTTTAGCTAATTCCTTTAGCAAACCCTAAATCATAAACCACCAAGATGTATTTTTTCGCTTACTTATCAAAATAAACAAAATACGTTTTTCTATGTATTATAGATTTCTTACTTTATTTTGTCTTGTTATTATTACAGAGGGAGTCCAGTTCTTGACCTAATCAAATTCTGACCCATTTCCCCACCTACCCTCGCCACTTTAGCTCATTCCAAGGACTTAAATTTAACTATTTAGCTAATTACTTCACCTATATAAATAGCGTATTACTACTGGAACTTCAAGTACTTGAGTGCATCATTAAATTTCGTATATACTATATACGTATCTTATACATTCCTGCTATCTAATTGCTAATTCAAAAAGACATGGACAAGTCTTCCTCAAAACTGGCTCTTCTGGTTGTGCTCATGATCATTGCATCTGGTAAAATCTATCATTCTCGTCGTTTCGCCATACTTGATGTCTAAAATTAAATTAAATTGGATAACTCCCAAGATTCAATATCAACTAATGTCACAATATTCTACTCATTATATAAGTAAATAAATAATTAATTATTGACAGGTTCAGAGCTATGTGCTGAAGCAAAAAACGTCACAATAATAGATCCTTCTTGCCCCTACGATTCAGAATGCGTGAATTTTTGGTGTGATTACCCCAGAGAAGAGGCGCGTCCCATATACATAATACATGCATTGTTTGCCTACATGTATACATTAGTAGAAGATGTTTTAGGGAATTTTCAGAATCAGAAATATGTTTTTTACAATGTTTTATTTTCTAGAGGTAATGACCATATTAATCATTTACAACTTTTGCTTACCAACAAACAACAATGATGCAACTTGAATTCATACTTTTCCGGAGAACAAATTTTTGTATTCAACCTTGAAATGCGTCCTTTTTGTCTCTGGATAAGATATATATATATGAACAAACACATGAACGCTTGAAAACTCATACATTACATACTTACCTCTCTTTCCCACGTGAGATGGCCCTATCACCTAATGCCACCACCATTTTCATGTCGTTTTCTTTTTAATTGAATAGGTTTTATTGTCGTGTAGCTGAGATAGGCTTCAACTTCAAGCCTGCATGAACTTCAGCCCACGTCAAACTAAGCCTAGCCCACCCAATTACTGTGAATTTCCCATTTTGCCCCAACGTGGGTAGGTGACGGTTGATTCTAGAATCATCTCACTACCGGCTCCCTACGCGTCTCACTATAGACTGGCTCTTAATCGCACACCAGTAGCTTAAAAAGGGTCAAGCACATCGGCATAACATCCGATTCAGTTCAGATTGGTTCTTCTAAATCACCACCGTCTTTCTCTGCTCTCTTTCTTTGTTTCTCTCTAAGGGGTGTTCTGAGGTAAAGCTCAATTCTTTCCTATCTGGTAACTTCAAATTTTCAGCCTTTTCTTTTTCTTGCTGAACAAAATTACATTTTTGTGATATGGGTTTGATTCTTTTATCTAAACGTTGTGCACAATAGCTCCGTTTGGATTTTAACTATTTATTATTGTAATTGTAGTTCGACTTTCTTGATGATCTTAAAGATCTGCCTTTTATTCTTCATAATATGCCAAATGTTTTTTTTTTCAATTTCCTGTCATTTTTTATTTCTTATTAAGAATTTGACGACTGTGACTGAGCTTGAATTCTTAATTATCTACTTGGATTTAGTGTTTTTATTGTTTGTCTGTGTGTTTGTGAGTTCCATGACTGATCATAGATCTCCTCAGTTCTCGCTCTGGATGAGCAGGATACTGGTTGCTCTGATTTTTTTTTATACAAATTTTCCGCGTGATTATATGTTTATAATAAATTTTTCTTGAAAGCTGAAAGCTTTGTGGAAAATATGGACTGCTATTCTGAGTTCTTACTGTTTGGAGTGTTTATGTAACAAAAAATGGAGCTGATAGAGCAATCCATGACTCATCTTAAATTGCTAATGATATTTTTCAATTTAAGTCTAGTTGAAAGCGAAACGGTTCAGGGCTATATAATATGTGTGTGTGTGTGTGTGCATGTTCTGCTCCATTAATTTTTCAATCAGGTATTTCTTGTTGTTTATCTAATAGTTATTTTGCTTAGATCACGTTGAACCATGGTGAAAGGCGTTGCTGTTCTTGGCTCCAGTGAGGATGTTAAAGGAATCATCAACTTCACCCAGGAGGGAGATGGTATGTCAAATGCTAATTGATTATTCATGGGATGTATATTGCTACTGTACTGTTCAAATTGATTGCTTTTGTTTATTCCAGGCCCAACGACTGTGACTGGAAGTATTTCTGGCCTCAAGCCTGGGCTTCATGGTTTCCATGTCCATGAATTTGGAGACACAACCAACGGTTGCTTGTCAACTGGTAAGGACCATTGACCAGTACTTGTTTAAGTTCTGGTGGAGTTGGGGCAAGATCAAAGAACCAAAGAGTAAATCTCCCCTCTGTTTCCATAAATTTTATTCTTGTATCTAATGGTCAACTACCTTGTAGGACCACATTTCAATCCTGATGGCAAGCACCATGGTTCCCCTGAAGACGAGATTCGCCATTCCGGTGATCTTGGAAATATCACTGTTGGGGACGATGGTAGATATTGTTTTGCTTTTTGTTTCTGTTTCTTAATAGCCTGAACACCCATTTTGTTGTTTAGTGACAACTTTGTGGTCATTAAATTCACTTATTCCTTTGTCATTGCGTTTTGTTTAACACTCCTAAATTTCTCTATTTTTATTATTGCGCGGGAGGCATGGTTTTCTTTTTAGTTACATTGATAGGAAGGCTCAAACGGGAATTGAGTACGTCAATCTATGTCTATTGCGACGATTTGATACTTTCTGAGTTTAATGTGTTTTATTTTTTTGCTTTAGGAACTGCAAACTTCACAATTATTGACAAGCAGGTATAATTGGCCTCCATGTTTAGTTTTAGTTTATGCTATTTGTAAAAGTTTTGTACTCCACCTCTCTTTGACGTTCATTTCCTCTTACATTATTGTTTGCAGATTCCTCTGACAGGACCACAATCAATCATTGGTAGGGCGGTTGTTGTCCATGCAGACCCCGATGACCTGGGCCAGGGTAAGTTTTAGTGCTCTCTCTCCCTCTCAAGTGTTTCCATCTTATAGCAATTAGCAGAATGAGCTAGTCAGTGAGATACACCTTTCAGTGGGTTTTCCCCACTCCACCTCTGTCTGTAGTTACGAGTAATTTTAGGCTGCTTCTCATTCCAATTGGAATACAATAGCTGCTGAATACGTGCAAATCATTTGGGACTTGGTATTTTTTTTGTTTTTATCATTGTTTTTTCTTGTGCCTCTCACCCTTTTAGATGAGCTAAAAACGCTGAAGAGTATTGGTTAACTGTCAGTTTCTAGTTCCTATGAGTTATTTTCTATTTCCATGTCAATTTTAATTACCATCTAGGTTTGAGCTGAAAAACCTGACAGTTCTGTTATTTCTCTACTTTGATCTGGCATCCATACCCCTTCTAATCCAATACTCATGTTGTACACAGGTGGACATGAGCTTAGCAAAAGCACTGGAAATGCTGGTGGCAGGGTTGCTTGTGGTAAGCTAATTGGATTAATCTCATTAAACAAAATGCTGATCTTACAGTTGTCGTCATATACTTTGGACTATTCTTGTTGTATGATCATATTAAGGTGCTTTTGACATCTCTGGAAATGGACGGTTATCCATGAAATTACATTGGTTTACTTGCAAATTTTGGTTTGCTTAGTTTCCAATAGAAATGAGAAGGGGAACTTGCATTAAGTTGATTCTATGCGGTTTATATATATATTGTCTTTTGCGTTCATCTGTAGAGGTCTATCTAGGTTGCAAATTTTTTATAGAGGTCTATGTTGCACAGTTTTTGTGTTGTATTGTATAGCCCTCTCTGTGTTGTATAGCATTTATAATTTATATTGTATTGTAGAGGGTGGTTGTAGAGGTCTCTCTGCGCTGCGTAGTTTTATATTGTTTTGTGAAAGTCAACTTGCTTATAATTTTATGTTCTGTTCTATTTTTGTGCAGGTATTATTGGTCTCCAAAACTGAACTTGATCACTAAGCACAAGAGAAGACATGCAGTTTCAGTTGAATGTACTAGTTTCTATAAGCTTTGAGAGGGGACTGAACACAAAACTCCTTTGAATAAGAAGATACATCTGTCATATTTGGCTGACGTTGTTTTGTTTGTTGCTATTTACAGAGTGCTTATGAGTTTGAGCGTGTTTGTTTCTTTATCTCTCTTCAATATCGCTGGTTCAAATTCAAACTTTAAGGATAAAGAGATTGTTTTGGAATATGTTTCTTTATAGTCGTCATTTGCTTTCAGAAATCTACTCCACTTGAAAGTGAAGAAGAATTTAAATATCCTGATGATGTTCCTTCTTTTTGGGAATATGTACACAACCGCCAAACTCTCACTTGGTTTTTAATTTAGATGGCATTATTCAGTTATATTGCATCATAACAGTTAGTGTGACTTTTGCAGCTACTTTTTAGCCTATTTGTAGTATTTTCTTATAGCTATATTTTGTTGAATGTTATTTCTAACTATATGGAGAGCAAAATCAAAGCAAATGGGAGAAAATGACAACCTTGCACGCTTGGGCCTTTTCCTCATTCGATCTGGAGGCCAAAATGCATACGTTTGAAATTTAAAGGGTAAAAACTAAAATTATTATCATTAAAGTCAAAATGCATTGTTACTATGAGCATGTAGTAGATTGAACATCGCCAGAATAATGCAAGACTGGTAGCGCGATGAGAGTATTATCAACAGTACTAGTGCTGCTTGCTACAAGTAGAAAAAGAGTCCTCCTCCTCCTCAATCGGCCGTGGAGGCGGCGACGTAGTAGTCATGATGAGTGGCGATTTGTTCCCTCGTCGCATTCAAATGGTTTGTGATGATATCAAGGTAATGCTTTGTCGAATTCAATTCATGTGCCTTGAATTCAAGGTATTGCTTTGAAAAATTACAACTAGTGTTGCCCGCGCCCACACTCTCCACCTTCGATACAACATCCCCAAACCCAAGTGCAAATTCTATAATAAATAAGCGAAATAAAACGCAAGGTACTTGTAATTTAAATGCTTAAGAGTAAAAATTCTCTCACGTCTCTAGATAAAAAAGTGACATTGTAACTTAATAAGCGAAATAAAATGCAAGGTGAGCAATTAGTGAAATAAAATGTAAAGTGCTTGTAACTTAAGTGATTAAGAATAATTACCGTTGCACCTAAAATTATGTGCTTGGTGTTTGAATTCGTGTACCCAAATATCACTTTTATAAAATAAATAAAAAATGTTAACAAAGCGAAGCTAAAAGGCCCATGGCTTTTAACCAAGGTGGTTGGTGTGAGTGGTCCGGCATTCTCATTCTTTAAGAGAGGTCAGGAGTTCGATCTCTGCTCTCGTATGGAATCACCACTTTGGCCAGCACTTTACCCCTTACGGGCCGATCCGATGTGAGCGGGGATTAGTCTGGATTGTGGTTAAGGCTTAAAGGTGCCACCCGTAGTTGGAGCCCATCCAGGACCACCTCATGGTTCAGAAAAAAAAAAAAAAAAAAGGCCCATGGTTTTTTAAGTACAAATTTTATGAATAAAATTTAAGTTCCACTTAGAGTTCACTTGAATTGGGCCAAGCGATCAGTTTTATACAGATTGGGCCAAGATTTGCTTAAAGAGAAAATCCATTAAATGATGTAACAGTAAAGCACGCTCGCTAGGAGGAAACAGAGAGAGAGAGCGTAAAACGCGCCTAACTGGTTCTGGCCGACACTCCTCTAGGGACCAAATTGCAATCGACTTCGTTAGCCTTTAACTGAGCGATGTCCAGCACGGTGGAGAAAATCTCAGGGGAGCTTCATATGAGGCCAGAGCTCCGCAAATCCTTCAACCTCCTGAAGACCCATGCGTCCAAAGTTGCCAATTTTACCCTCCAATGGCAGGACCTCGAGGAACACTTCCTCTCCATCGACAATTCCATCCAATCCAAACTCGACCAACTCCAAAAACAACAATCCAAAGAGACCCATCTCACTCCCACTCTGCAATCACAACCCAGTTTCAAAGAAACCGAATTGGATTTCCACGACAATTCTAAAGAAACCGAATTCAATCCAACTGACCCCCAACCGAGTTCCCGAGCCGATATTAAAGATACCCAACTCACTGCAACCCTCCAATCCTTGAAAACCCAATTCAATTTCGTCGAAACCCAAGTAAAAACCGGAGAGTCTTTGCCAGAAAGTTCGAGTTGCAATGGTGTCCCAATACATGATGGCAAGGCATTGCTGTTGTATTTGATTGAGCATTTGAAAGAAAGGGATTCGGTGCGTGACCTCATCGCAAATGCGCTTAAGGTTTCGGTGGACGCTGCGAAGCTCGTGCTCGAGGCAGTAAGATGGTTTTATCCATCGGAGTCAACTGAGGGAGATGGGGACCTTGAACTCACTGTTGTTAGGAAAAGTTGTGTGCTTTTGTTAGAAGAGCTGATGAAAGTGAGACCTGTGATAAAACCTGAAATTAGTCAAGAGGCAATGAAGCTTGCATTGGTTTGGAAGGCAAAGGTGAGAGGTCAAACGACGAACTCTCTGGAGGTTTGGGGTTATTTGCAGCTTTTGGGTGCTTTTGGGTTGGTTGGTGAGTTTGACAGTGATGAGACTCTGAAGCTTGTTGGTTGCATAGCAGAGCGTAAATGGGCACCGGAGTTATTTAGGTCCCTTGGTTTTGCCAATAGAGCCTCTGGTGAGTTTTTGGAGAGCCTTTCTTATTGTTGTTCTTTTCCATCTTTATTAGATAGTTACTTTATGAATTGGTTTTGGTGGCCTAGATTATTTGTAGTTTTACTCTTAGAAATTGGATTATCGGTTGGTTATGGTGGAACTGTGTGGCATTTCTGTAAACAAAAGTATATATTTAAAGTCTGGTTAGTTTGAGTGCAACTTTCTAAACAAAATTATATAGATGTCACGTTCTAAGCTTTGATGTGATATTGTTTCTTTACAAAGACTTATTGTAGTTCTGTCCCAAAAGACTTATTGTAAAGAGGACAGTTCCTTATTTGATCACCCCACAATCCAGCATGGCCTGGCCATGAGACATACTTTTTGTATAATTTGGTGCTTTAGAGTTGTTGCAACTTGCAATGGCAGTTTTTGTTACCAAAATGTCGTCTTTACCTTTGTTCATGATTATGGTGTTTTAGTAACTCTCGTCCCTTAATGAACATGTTATCAATAATGTAATGATAAATTATTCACAACAAATATGAGATGTTAAGAAAATTTAAGAAGATTTTTCATACTTTACAGTTTCATTCTAAATGTGAATGATAATCTGTCCTCCAAGAGTTACAGCCCCAATTGTAGCATAAAAATTGGGTTTTCGTAGAGATATATATAGTTTGTCAATTGAAATGGTCTGATGTATATCTATGGCTGAAGCAACAATTTTGTGAACATTTTTAGATCAAAACAAATGGAGCCTTGTTATTATTTGGAAACATGTTTTAGAAGCTTTTAATACGTGACAAATACTGTGCATATTTGGAGTTTCCACTAGTCTTTGAGGAGTATCAAGTACATGGCTACAGGGAAAGAAAGTTTGTGGTACCTATGCTTTCGTTATTGTGTTTGTCTTCTGTTATTTGCTGCTAGAGTTTCTCCTATTGTCATGTTTCATTAATGTTTGTGATTCTTCATCATTTTGGACCATTTGGCTGTTTTTATTTTATGACGGTAGTCTTGAACTAAGAAAATCTATATTGTTTTTTTTGCTACCTCTGTTAAACCTACAAATTTGTTTTGTCCTGCAGATTTTATTCAAAAGCTTGTATCAGAGAACAAGCGACTTGATGCTATTAGATTCATTCATGCATTTGAACAGCTTGACAAGTTCTCCCCTGTACCCCTGCTTAAAGAACATTTGAAGTTCGCCAAAAAGGATGTGAGTTGCAAGAGGGGGCAAGATCGTCTTAGTGCACAGGTATAGGTTTTGTTTCTTTTGCCTCTTCAACCCTCCTTAGACTCAGATGAAACAGCCATCTTTTATGTACTGTATCTCATTAAATTAAACCCCATGCAGGATGAGGCCAGAGAGAAAGAAATAGTCGCCCTAAGAGGCATAATACGATGCATTGATGACTACAAGCTTCGCGTTGAACCACAATATTCTCCTGAAACCCTCAGAAAACGCATCACACAGTTGAGAAGGCAGAGAAAAGAGAGGAAAGCAACTCTAACAGCTCCTGGCCGCGAGGCTCAGGTGCAACACCTGAGTGGAAAGAAACGTACTGCCCCTGATTCAAAGACTCAACCAAATAAGCAGAGCAGAAATAAGCATCAGCGGACAGCCCCAGCTTCAGCTGCTCGAAATGCTTCTTTTAGAGAACCAGCCACAGTACATTCTATACAGCCATCCTATCTTCGGCAAGTAGGCTTGTTTGAGAGTCGAGGTACAGAATACTTTTTAACATCAGCTGGAATGCCTGGACAAGCAACCACTCCTCCCAATACTTCATATGGAACCACTTCCGTCTTTAACTCACTGCGAGCATCTCATCATCAGCAAGGAGGCTCATTCTTAGGTCAAGGTGCAGAATACTCTTCTGGATACTATGATTCGGCACACTACGCTCCTGATACTCATAATAACTTATCCGCTCGATCGTATGGTTTGGTGGGTTCCTCTCCTGTTATCCATACCCAGCACTTGACAGCTCGAGACTATGGGTTGAACTCAGCAATTGCGTCCTATGGACTGGAGGGCAGTAGTCATGTGTCCTCACATATGAGTCCGTTAGCCACACGATATGGGACAAGCATAGCTGCAAATGGGAGGAGTGGGCAGTTTGGATCAGCAGGAAGCCCTCCACCCGTTCGCATTACAAATGGGAGCCCAAATAGTTCCATCGCTTATGTCTCTAGGGATCCAGTGAGGATGCCTAATTACAATGACCGGTCAGTGTCTTCCAGTAGTGGATATGGCACCCTGTCTCAGTGCCCGCCATCTATTTATCACCTTTAGCACAATCCTGGCGTTCCTGGTAATTTATGCTCAGTTGTTGGTATTTCTGTTCTGTGTTATGGTTATGGGTTTGTGTTCGTGTTTTTCAACCATTAGTATAAGAGAACTGTATTCAATTAGATTTTTTAGCTTTTCAAAGGGTGGTTTCGGGCGAGAGCATATTTATATCAGGGGTCGTTGCCTTACCCGCTGAAAATTACAAGGCTGGTGTCTGCTCCAGATTTGGAGCACGTTGAAATTAAGATCCTATTACAAAGGTAAAGATTAATGTTATGTGTCGCTTTACTTGGGGTCCGGCCTGATTCGACATTTTCATTTATAGTCATATGCCAACCCAACCCAACCCAACCCAACCCAAGAGGAATTGGGCCTACATGTTTGTGTAATGGGTCCAACTGGGGACTAGAAATTTTGAGTCCCACCTATGCACCTATGTCCCAAACCCAATTGCCAGCTAGACGACATAAGATCTGTTACAAAATTACCCATTTCCCAAACTAAAATGGTAAGCAGATTTTGCATTTAATTGAATTTCATCTGATTATAAAACACCTCACCATTGACAGACTCGTAACCATATAGCCGCGGCAGAGGGAGGACTTGTAGTGTCTCTCTAGATCTGGCAAAAGCGAAAGACCCCAAATGTAATTCGAAGGGGGCACTACGAATTCTATTTCAATTATACGAATCCTTTATTTTTCAAGTCTTCGTTCATAGATATTTGTGCTAAAAAATTAGACAAATTGATGAATAGATAAATACAGTGTTTCAAGAAATCACTAGAATGAATAATAACCAATAATTGAGCGATCAAATGATTTTGAATTTAAATTACTTTTGCAGATTTACTTTTTCAATAAATGCCTAAAAGATAGATGGTTGGGGTCATCTGAAGGTAAATACTCTATAAGCCCAATCACATATCATGGCCTATATTACATTTTGTATTTTCGAAAAGAAAAAACAATTTCAATTTTTTTTGTTGGTCTAGGAGAAACGAACAGCAGAACAAAATACACGGACAGAGCGCGAAAGCGATAAACACAGAGAGAGAGAGAGAGAGAAAAGGAGAGAGAGATGGGTAGAGAGGTCTCAGAGAGCTGCGTGGACAGTCTACTAACAGAGATGGTCTCTATGTACTGCAATCGACTATATGCCAATAAGCCTGAGCTCGCCGCCAGCAGGATCGACGCTATTGGCTACCAGGTCGGCCACCAGCTCTCCGAGCGGTACACCTTCCCGCACTCTATCTCAAACCCCTTTCTACGCCCTGCCCTCTATGATTGCTCTTCAATTTCATTTTATTCGAATAGCCTCTGTTTGATTTCATAGCAATTGGGCTTTTAGATCTGAAATGCGTATTTTCAAGTGTTTGATTTCAGACTTTTTTCTCTTTTTAGTTTATAAGAGTTTGGTGGGGTGTTTGGTTGTTGAGAAATTGTAGGAAAGCAGACCACCTGTATGCATATGCGGCCCTTGCCTTTTTATTTTTTGATCCCAATCAAATTATAGGAATAGGAGCAGTGAGTGAGAGCATATGTATCTGCTTACTTGTAATAAAAATGGAGGCATTTTTTAGGGTGCAGCCAGTGATGATTAAATTTTACTTGTTAGGTACACAATGGAGAGGCCTCGGTTTACTGATCATCTGGATGCAATTAAGTTCATCTGCAAGGACTTCTGGTCCGAGCTCTTCAAGAAGCAGATAGACAACTTAAAGACCAATCATAGGGTAAATTTTAGAATCAATTCTGAATTGGGGTTCTTTTTCATTGTGTGAATCTGATCAGAGTAAGATGGTCTTTGTTTATATTGTAGGGTACTTTTGTATTGCAAGATAATCGATTTCGTTGGGTTTCACGCATGTCCCTTGATCCATCTTCTGAAAACGGAGACTTATCTCAAGAGAATTCTGAGGCTGCGGATGAAAGCAAGGCAGCACAAGAACCAAACATGCATCTCCATTTCTCATGTGGAGTCATAAAGGGGGCTCTTCATAACTTGGGGATTGCTTGTGCTGTTTCTGCTGACACATCCCAGCTTCCTGCTTGTAAGTAGCTCTCTATTTAGCGGTTTTGAATTATAAATACATTTTCTGTGCACATTAAGTTACCTTTACAACCCTCGATCATGAATTGTCTTGGGGTTGTTAATATTATGTTGCATGATGGTCATTGTTGCAGATTGTCTATTCATCAAGCTAACAATGCTTTTTGTTGAATTGGTTTTCCACGAATATAATCTCCTTGACATGTGAAGTCGGATAACTTGACTTACCTGCGATAATTCATTGCCCTCCACAATCCACTTATATGTTAAGCATCACTTATTGCGGTGTTAATTGCTTATGAGTATACCATTTCAGTACTCTTACCAAAACTTATTTAAGTTATGGTATTTTGAGCTACTGAATATAAATGTCCAATTGTTTCACACTAGTCATGAAATTCAATGGTCCAGTTATGGAATTGTCACGAGATGATTGGTCACCTATGCTAGTTGGTTTAATGGTCTTCAACTTATTCTAGGTGGCTCATCTTTAATTAGAGAACAGTGGATTACTTGGTAAACATTAAAAAGTGGAGAACTCTTGGGGAATTTTGCTGTGCAAGTTGCAACCATGCTTAGAATTCCAAGTTGCCTGGATAAAAAGTGACGAACTCAGCCATAATCTGTCTGGATAGCAGCACCTTTGAACCCTGTATGATCTGCTTCTGGGCTCAAGTATCTGTTTCCTATAGAATCGACACTTCTTAGGTGTATCATAGGTTTCGCCTTGACTATTGCTTGGGATATCAATGATGTCAGTAGATCCAGTAGCTCGTCCTGCAAAATTTGTTCTGCGCTAATGCTAGCATCAGAAGCCTTGACTCTTCTCCTCTACTATAGTCTTAATTCAGAGTTAACCCTTTTTTCACTCTAAATTTTTCTAAATTAGAAAGGATGGGTGAGTTTTATCCATGGGGAATTTTTCCGTGTTCTTCTTGCTCCTTAATTTCAGTTTGAATCAATAAATATCTGTCTATCTTATTTTATACTTGTTTTTCTCATCATTATTTCATGCACTGAATCTGACACGATTTTACGACCCTGTCGACAAATATTCCATTCATTATAGTTATCTTCTTGGTTTACTGGCACTCCCTGTTGTAATAGTGGTTGTTTGAAATTATTGAACAGGTTCATTTGTGGTTCGTATAAAGCCCTGATGAATGCTTCTCCAAGGAACTGTCAAAACAATTGGGGTTTAATTCATCGACTTATCAAGATTTGTAATCTTCTCTTCTCTCTCCTTTTCAAGAGTTTTCACTTGATTTCAGAATTGCCTTGTAATCTTCAAACTAACACGAGTATCTGGGAAAAATCTCTGTTGCAACTTGCAATGCTATAGGAGAATGTTGAAAAGCAAAAATTGTTTTTATCCTTATATGAGACGGTGTCCTCCTTGCATCAGGAAGTTTGCCTGAACAGAGACTACATGATTGTATTTTATAATTAGAATTATTATTTAATTATGTTTTATTTAGTGAAATCCTCTAAATTTTATAGGAATTAGGAATTTGATATGTGATATGATGGGCCTACTGTCCGTTCTCCTTGTAACTCTCATCCAGCTCAATCGTAGGTTTAAATGCCAGTACGAGTCTTAATGAACTCATTAAACTCCTATTAAACCAAATGCAGAACCGTTGGATGATTTTAAACTTCTCTCTAAATGAAATTGGATGGCTGAGACACAAAATGTTGGACAAGTTTATTTCTTTTCTTTATTTAAAATTGACAAAGTAAGGATAAGTGTGTGTTTGTTTGAGATAATGAACTTATAATTCAAAATACCCTTATGTAATGAAAATGTTAAAAAGAAATCAATTTATCAAATGGATAATATATTTAAAAAATATTGTTTTGCATTGTCAAAAGGCTTAGTTATTTATTAAAAAATTGTAGGTGTTTCCTAGATTTTATTTAAGGAAGTTTCTAGTAATCTCACTAAGTCTGATAAATAAAATATATGAAAAATCTCACTAAGCGTTGGTAATTATGGATGTTATGATATATTCCGTTATTTTTTCCAAATAATGAGAGCAGTTAAAATCTTATTAGAAATTGATTCGAGTAGTACTAGTAGGAGTAAAATTAGGAAGATAATGGATTCCACCTCAACCGTCGGTGGCGCACTCAAATTGTCGTCTGCAAAAGGTCAAAATAATTCGTAGTCAAATAGGAACAGACCGATGCGAGGTAGGAAAGATTTGCACACGTGTCCAAGCTGTATGGTTTGCGTGGCCCCCACTGCACACACCACTCTCCCCTCTCCTCTTTGTTTTTGGTTTACAACTCTCCTCGTTCCGTGAGAAACAAAACAACAACAGGTTTCTTTGCGTTCGCTTTAAAATCCAGAGACGCTACAAACCACATACCACACTCTCTTCTTTCTTCTCCTCCACTGTTTCTAGGGTTTCGACCAGACGTTTCATCGCTGCGGTTTTTCTTGTTTTCTTCGTTTTCAGTCTCCCGAATCTCCACCACGACGGGGACAATGGAGAAGATAGAGTCGGATTTGAAAGAGTCTGAGTTCAAGCAGAGGAGCCTGGCCAAGGCGTACGATATTATACATGCGCAAGCTAATTCGTTCCTCATTTTTACTCTGCAGTGGAAGGACCTCGACGACCACTTTGAGTCGACTCGGAACTCGCTAGAGACCCGGTTCCGAGAACTCGAGGCCCGCGAGGAGGATATCGGAGTCCGGGAGACGAAGTTGGAAGCCAAAGAGTGGAACTTTCGCTCGGAGAAGGAAGCGAAAGCCTGCGAGGTGCGCGGCCTTGATAGATTGATCGATCAGAAATTGAAAGAGGTAACTGACTGTAAGAACCACTTGCATTCACTTTTGTCATTGATTCAAGAACACAGCGATGAGGTCATTGTTCAAGAGAAGCGGTTGATGGAAGTTGAGAAGTTTGTTAGAGAGAAGGAGATGGAGTTTGATTCGATTGACCGGCGTGTTAAAGAGAGGACAAAAAAATTGAATTGGGTTGAGAAAATTGTGGAAGAGAAGGAGATGGAGTTTGATTCGATTGACCAGCGTGTTAAAGAGGGGACCGAAAATTTGAATTGGGTCGAGAAAATTCTGGAAGAGAAGTCGAAATTAGCCGAGTCTAAGGAGGAGGAAGTGAAACGGTTTCAAGAAGCGTTGAACAAGTACGTTGAGGACATAGAGTTGAAGAAGAGGCAATTGAATGAGATTCTTGGGTCAATTGAGAAGCACAAGAAAGAGTTTGATTTGAAAGAAGAGCTTGTTGAAGCAACGAAAAGATCGATTGAGGAATGCGACAAGGAGTTGATATTAAAAGAGGAGAAACTTAGGTTGATTGAAAAATCGTTAGTGGAGTGCTCTAATACACTCGAATCGAGAGAGAAAAATATTAGGGAAATAGATTTGAAAGAGAGAGATTTTGGTATGATTAAGAATTCAATGGAGGAGTGGTCTTGTAAACTTGATTTCAGAGCGAGGGAACTTGAATTGATGGACAAGAGGGTAAGTGAACGCCTCAATGAGGTTAAGTTGAAAGAAAAGAATTTGGATGAACTCCAAAAATCGATCAGAGATGGCGAGAAACATTTGGATAAAATGTCTAAGGGACTTCAAATGAAAGAGAGTCAACTTGAAGACCAGGTCAAAGAGCTTGCATTGAGGCAGACAGAAGTTGATTCGATCAAAAAATCCAATGAAGAACACACCCAAAACCTGAAATCAAAAGAGAGGCAACTTGAAGACCAGGCCAAAGAGCTTGAATTGAAGCAGAAAGAATTATTTTCGATAAAAAAATCCACTGAAGAACAGACCTTATCTTTGAAATTGAAAGAGAGGCAGCTTGAAGACCAGGCCAAAGAGCTTGACCTGAAGCAGAAAGAATTTATTTTGATAAAAAATTCCACTGAAGAACACAACAGAATCCTGAAAGCAAAAGAGAGGCAACTTGAAGACCAGGCCAAAGAACTTGAATTGAAGCAGAAAGAATTTGATTCGATCAGAAAATCCAGTGAAGAACTCATCCAAAACCTGAAATCCAAAGAGAGGCAACTTGAAGACCAGGCCAAAGAGCTTGAATTGAAGCAGAAAGAATTTGATTCCATTAAAAAATCCACTGAAGAACACACCCGAAACCTGAAATCGAAAGAAATGCAACTTGAGGACCAGGCCAAAGAGCTTGAATTGAAGCAGAAAGAATTTGATTCGATTAAAAAATCCACTGAAGAACACACCCGAAACCTGAAAGCTAAAGAGAGGCAACTTGAAGTCCAGGCCAAAGAGCTTGAATTGAAGCAGAAAGAATTTGATTCGATCAGAAAATCCACTGAAGAACTCATCCAAAACATGAAAGAAAGGCAACTTGAGCAGAAAGAATTTGATTCGATCAGAAAATCCTGTGAAGAACACATCCAAAACATGAAATCGAAGAAAAGGCAAATTGAAGACCAAGCCAAAGGGATTGAATTGAAGCAGAAAGAATTTGATTCGATTAAAAAATCCACTGAAGAACATACCCGAAACCCGAAAGCGAAAGAGAAAACTAATGCCCTTCATTCTCAAGTGAAGATTGAGCAACTGGAATATATCCCTTCCAACCAGGCCTTTGTTCCTTCTTCTGCAACTAATCAATCCAGCATCTATAGGGATGGTAGAGGCTTGCAGTTGTTCATGAATGAGCATTTGAAGAGAATTGATTTAGTGGGTAGTGAAATCTCAGCTGTTCTTGAGGCCTCGTTGGACCCAGCAAAATTGGTTTTGGATGCAATGCAAGGGTTTTACCCCTCAAATTCGACTGCAGACAACAGGGACTGTAATTTTGATTTGAGAGTTATTAGGAGGAGTTGTATTCTTTTGTTAGAGGCTTTAAAGAAAGTCTCACCACAAATTAATCCTCCGGTGAGAGAAGAAGCAATTAAGTTGGCGGGTGACTGGAAGGCTAAAATGACGGGGGCAACTGAGAATTGGTTGGAGATTTTGGGTTTTTTGAGGCTTGTTACTACGTATGAAATCACCTCTGAGTATGATGGGAAGGAGCTTCAAAGTCTTGTTGCTACAATTGCAGAGTATGAACAGGCAACTGAATTATCCCAGGCCCTTGGTAGCACAGAAAAGGGATCTGGTAAGTTCTTTTCATTTATTTGCTGTTTTTGTCACATTTAGATCTGAGTTTATAATTTGTATAGCACTGCCTACTTAATTTTGTTATCTGATGTACGGCTGAAGTCAATTAGGTTATATGTTATATTTCTGACCCTTGTCAACCCAACAAATAGAAGTCTATACCAGCAGCAAAATGCCCTCTGCATGTTGTGGGATGGGATAGGCCTGTGAATCATTGTCAATTTTTCACAGTGATGGCCCATAAATGTCACAAAGAACAGTTCTGAAATTCTGATTTCTTGCCTTATGGAGCTTCTCTTTAGAGGGAAAAAGTTTTAATGATAATAATTCTTATTGTAGAGTAGCATTGGTTACAATTTCCCATTGGACATGCGTTTTACTCTTGTTTTTAGAGCAGTGTTGAAGAGTACTTGTTACTCTAAGAAGTTTCTGCAATCAATGATTTTTAAACATGTTTCAAAACCATTGTCCTTTTAGGCCTTGTTCTTTTATTTAGAAAGATGATATTGTACATTGCAAATAGTTTTACCCTCTTTATTTTTTTTTTTATAAGAAATGCTTTGTCCTTTGTGCTGTCCTGAAAATCGTTAATGGTTTAAGTTGCACCTATTTTATGAATATGTTGTTCAAATCTTATAGCATCTTGACACCATTTCGTCCTAGCTCTTGTTATTGAAAATTTTGCTTGTACTTCTAAATTAGCCATTTGGGCAGTCTCTATCTCCTACTTGCCCATAATACCGTCTGATGCTCTCATATATTCAAAACAAGACTTTTCTTATTCGTTTCGGGGTTTTGCTTGGTAAGACTTGAACCTAATAGCTATCCCCATCCCCTCTCCACATAACACTCAAAAGCAATTTGCACATAATGCTATAAATATGTTTTAATATGTTAAGTTCAGAATTATTCACTCACTAACCTGTCTACTGCAATTGTATTTTTTGGCACAGCCAGCATCATTTGTTCCCCTGTCAAAACTGAGAAACCAGAATCTTCCCTGACCAAAAATGCAGCAGCTGTTTCTTCTCCGAATCTTCAACTAACTGCTACTACAGATGCAAGGAATTTGCAGGGGTTTGTACATGAGCTTGCAAGAGGGAATCATTTAATACAAAGTGAAACTTTGGCTGCTCTTCAGACGTCATTGGACCCAGCAAAATTTGTGTTGGATGTGATGCAAAATTCTTTTGCTCAATACTGGGGAAATGGGGATGTTCATTCTACGGAAACTGTCATGTTGAGTTACATCAACCTATTGGAACAGCTAATTTGTGTCTCACCGCATGTTGAACCTCATGTGAAGGACGATGCAAGAAAGCTAGCAATCCAGTGGAAAGCAAAAATGGGAGCTGATACTCAAAATTCATTGG